AAAAAAAAAAAAAGAACTTGGTGAAATTTGGGGGTGATTTAATTTAACTTAGAATAAAATAGATGAAAAGTGACAGTAAATAGGGTGTTTAGGTTCCTTTATTTTTCAATTGTGTCCTTCTGGTAAACAACATGGCCTGAACTTCTTACATTAAGCTTGCAGTGGTCCAGAATTTCAGTGTGGAGAATGGACAAATCTCATTGATAAATAAAATAAGTAAGTCATAAATGGAACAAGTCATAAAAGAACATAACAGAAATATTTTATTTATGCAAAGTTCAAAAACTGTGAATTGATAATGAAACTACAGTGCTTAGGCATGTCTATGAACATGGACCACAGTGAAGTCTGTGGACTTGGACCATAGTGAAGTCTACAGACATCCCTATAGCGCTTAGGCGTGTCTAGGAACAGTAAAGCCACAGTGAAGTAGGCAAGAGATAGATTTGTTTCACCTCTGCAGGGAGAAGAGAACTGTGGTTGGAAGAACCACAGAGAGATTCTGAGCGCTGCTGCCTTCTGTTTAATTCCCTGAGCGCTTAGTTACACAGGAACTTCTTTACAGAGGTTCCTGACACTGGACATGCTGCATGCAGAATTCCACATGTATGTTACAATAAAAAGGTAATTAGGCCGGGCCAGGCTAGCACTCTGTGGGGGCCAAGGCAGGTGAATTGCCTGAGCTCAGGAGTTCCAGATCAGACTGAGCAAGAGCAAGACCCCATCTCTACTAAAAATAGAAAAACTACCCAGGCGTTATGGTTGGTACCTATGGTCCCAGCTACTCGGGAGGCTGAGACAGAAGGATCACTTAAGCCCAGGAATCTGAGGTTGCTGTTAGCTAGGATGATGCCATGACACTCTACCCAGGGTGACAGAGTGAGACTCTGTCTCAAAAAAAAAAGGTAATTCAAAGACTACTCCAACCCTGTAATAGTCTTCCCAATCTCTTAAATCTACATGGATCTCTCATGCAGCAAAAAAAGATGTATGTAAAGTACAACCATATTTTTAAGCCTTTCTTAGGTTCCTTTTCTCTGTTAAATTATTATTATAACTATAGTTAAGAGCTTTTATTTCAGAAACTAGCATATCTAATATGGCCGGGATTTATCAAAGCACTTTGATCTACCATCTTTCTCTCTATATATGAGCACAAAGGGCTGGAAGGCTCATCATTAACCAATTATTTCTGGGTGGTGGAATTTGGGGGTGATTTAGTTTTCTTCTGTATTGCATTTTTCTGTGTAGTTTAAATGTTTTGTCATGAGCATGTATCACCTTTTCAAAAATGAAGTATTTTTTGTTGTTAGTAATGCTGCAATGAGCAGGCTGAAGAGAGTGCCCATGCAGGGGGATGAGGTGGGTGGTGGTGGACCCTGAGCAGGGTCATAAAGGCATCTCTGTGTGACAGTCCCCAGAGTAGGGCATTAGCACCAAGGTGGGGTAAAGAATGTGTCTACTGGAAGGAGAGACAGTGGCAGCAGCAAATTTTTTATCTTACAGAGGTATTGATCAAATAAGTAAATAAATCAAAGATCATAGGACCCAGCTTCCTCATAGTAAAGAAAGGAGACGCAAATACGGAAAGGGGGAAAACTAGAACAAATCTTGTAGTATTGAACTAGAACCAGAGATATTGGGGTGAACATATGATTTCAATGCATATAGAGAAACACGGAAGCATGCACTGTGCACACACATACATAACATGGATGTATATGTACACACGCAAAGGTATTCCCTAACCATCCCTGAGAGGGCCCAGGAACAGGACATCAATAATGAGCAAGCTGGCCCCCAGATCTGGGTTTATAAATATCATTCTCCTTGAAGAGCAAACAGGGCTCCATGGAAACTCAGGTTATTCCAGAACTGGAACAGGTAAAGTACGAGATAGACCTGAATCATCTCACAGCACCAGGAAGTAAAGAAGTGCCGAAGAACGAAGGGCACAAGTCCAGAAAGACACAGAGTCAGGCTGAGGGGGGCCTACTGGACAATCGGAGGCCATCTGGACATCAAAATAATAAATCAGAATACTAACAGACAGTAACCCATTGTGAAAAATGGGAGACCATAAGTTGTAATGATATAAGTTAATTAATTGAAGGTTTAATGCCTCAAGGGATCTCCCAACAAAAATACTCATTAATTACAAAAGGGAAAAGATAATTTTACGGAGCGGAAGCCTGTCGTACATCACCTTAATCAAATTTGAAGTTAACATCACTAGTAACGGGACAAACTGAGATCAGGCACCACATGAAAGCAGCCAGTGAAAAAAACAGAGCAGCATTTCTAGGATATTTCTGCCAGTAATGTGTGGGCTGGATCAATGATGAGGAAACATGAAAAGAACTCAGAATGAGGGACATTCCACAAAATACCTGGCCTAAATCTTCAAAAGAATCAACATCACAAAAATTAAGGACAGACTAGGGAACTATCCCAGATAGACTGAGACTAAACATGACTAAGAATATAATTCGATTCTGAATTCAGTCCTTTGCCACGAAAGGCACTTTCATGAAAACTGATCAAACTCAAGTAAAGTCTGAGAATCAGATGGTGGTACCGTATCAGTGCTGATTTCCCAGCTTCCCTTCTGTAGAAGATACATATTAAAGTATTTCAGGGTGGGCTGGGCACAGTGGCTCACGCCTGTAATCCTAGCACTCTGGGAGGCCAAAGCGGGTGAATTGCCTGAGCACAGAAGATCAAGAGCAGCCTGAGCAAGAGTGAGACCTGGTGTCTACTAAAAATGCAAAAACTGGCCAGGCTTTGTGGTGGACACCTGTAGTCCCAGCTATGTGGGAAGCTGAGGCAAGAAGCTTGCTTAAGCCCAGGAGTTTGAGGTTGCTATGAGCTATGATGCCACAGCACTCTACCAAGGGTGACAAAGCGAGACTCTATCTCAAAAAAAAAATTAAAAATTAAAATAAAAAAGACATTTCCATTAGCTTCCTTAACAATATGGCTGCTTGTTCACTCAAATACAGATAAATGCAAATAAATACTCAAATACAAATAAGTTGATGTTTACTTATATTTCACATTATCTATTATTATTATTATTATTATTTTTGGAGACAGTCTCACTATAGCACCCTGGGTAGAATGCTGTAGCATCACAGCTCACAGCAGCCTCCAGCTCTTGGGCTTAAGTGATTCTCTTGCCTCAGCCTCCCAAGTAACTGGGACTGTAGGTGCCCAGCACAACACTCGGCTATTTTTTTGTTGCAGTTGTTTAGCTGGTTTGGGCTGGGTTCAAACTTGCCACCCTTGGTGTATGTGGCTAGCGCCGTAATTACTATGCTATGAGCACTGAGCCCACATTATCATTTTAATTTCTGGAATTAACTTTCTTTTTCCAACTCACCAGATTTTAAAGAATGATTTCCCCAAAGACATGGCTTTCTGCATGGTCCATAATCAAATTTTATAATTTTCTCCAACTTTAGGTGGATTCCAATAACATTTGTTCAACAGAACACAAACTGAAATTCAGTGGCTTGGGGCTTTCCCACCATGCCCTTCACTGGCCTTGGGTGACAGCAAAAATGGAGACTGCACAGTTTCAGGAGAAGTGAGGAAACGTTCCCCAGCAATGCAGTCACTCCCCAAGGCCACGTGCAGGAAGCGGGCTTCCCAGCCTGACACACCAAACATGGGCGCTACCTACTGACTTCTAGTGCTTTCTATCAACATTTAATCTTATAACCTTCCTATAAAAAACTAGGATCCTTGTTTTAGAAATAGGAAAAACTTAAGCTCAGTTCATCAATCTCCTTAAGGTTATTGTTTTAGTTTTTTACTCTGTGTAACAAACATCTATAAACTTAGCAGCTTAAAATGAAAGAAACTTATAATGTCATCACTTCCATGAGTGAGAGGCCCAGCACAGCTAAGCTGGCTGCTTTACGGAAGATCTCACAGGGCTGCAATCAAGACATGAGCAAGGGCTGTGGTCTCATCCAAAGCTCAGGGTCCTCTTCCCTGTTCACTTAAGTTGCTGACAGACTCAGTCCCTTCTGGTTATAGAACTGAGGTCTCCATTTCCTGCTGGCTATTGGCTGGACACTGTTCTCAGATACTAAAGGCACCCGTAGTTTATACCTAAAGGCAGTTCACAACATCATGTCTGCTTTTTTCTAGGCCATGTGGAATGCATCTTTTTTTTTTTTTTGAGACTAAGTCTCAGCCACCCTGGATAGAGTGCTGTGGCATCACAGCTCACAGCAACCTCAAACTCTTGGGCTCCAGAGATCCTCTTGTCTCAGCCTCCTAAGTAGCTGGGACAACAGGCACCCACCACAACATCCTGCTAGCTTTTTTCTATTTTTAGTAGA